GGGCGGCTGCAAGCTGGCACAAGGTAAACCATTAGAACAGGACCTGGATCATTTGAAGTGCATTACCAGCACTGGCTTTATTGTAAAGCCTCTTGCTGCTTTCTTCCTGTGTCATAGGCATGAGTGTACACATTCTAGAGATTTTACTAGACTGTGTGATCTGTGAGGATCAGAAGGATGTCTTGTTCACCATAACCTCACTGCAGCCCACAGCATAATGCTCGGCATAGAGTCAGGTTGAGCTGTTCATTAAAGATAGGATGGTTTGGAGAGAAGCATAACCTGGGGTGCTTTGGGTGCTGTGACCTCTTGGGCCCAAGAAGTTGTTAGGACTCATACACTAGCAAAGTCCTTGAGCAATACGCTCTCGTAACAGGGCCCAATGGAACAGATAAATGCTGAGCTGTCTGGGCGCGAGCAGAAGGGGTCAGGTGGAGGAGCCTGGGATCTATTGCTCTTTAATATCTATTTAACTCTGACATTGAAGGCATTTGTCATCTTCTCTGCATTCATTCAGTCACCATGGTTGGGCGCGTCCATTTCTGTTTATTTCCTTGAGAGAGGACAAGCTGCCCATTTAATTATTCCTTCCTTTCTTCAGCTCTCTGGAAGCAGAGAACCTTCAGCCATGTGGGCACGGAACATACTGGATCCTTTGCCTGAGGGACAAGCCAGGCTGTGCATCCTAACGCCCTCCTCTCCTCTCCTCTCCTTTCCACGCCCTCTCAGCGGTTTCTTCATTCCAGCTCCCAAAAGTCTCTAGTTCACCCTGCCCCTCAGCCCACCACCACCTGGCCCATGCTCTGGCCGTCCCCACCTGGTGCCTAGAGCAGCACCCCTGCCCGGACTCAGTGCCTTCAGGTTGGACTCTTATGTTCCACCCTCCACACCATGGCATAGTAATCATTCTAAACAGCACCATTTCACTTTCCTGCTTAAAGTGCATCAGTGGCTTCCACCTGTTCTGTGCCAGGCCTTGGAAAGAAAGTGCTGAAGCAGGGGACGCAGCCATGCCCTCAGAAAGCTGTTTACCATTGCATACAATTGTGACTGTTTCCACCAGACTTTTGGGGTCCTTTGAGTGTGGACATGGGGAGACCTTACCTAGAAGAGGGGAGGTGCTTTGTGAGCTGACTGCAGACCTAGGGAGGACTGGGTGGCTCTGCAAGGCACCCGGGAGTAGGATGAGCAAGTGCTGAGACAGGGCAAGCAGTGGGTGCATGCCCTGGGTTCCTGCAGCACTGGGTGGTGATCACTTGCTTGTTTGGGTGCCCCTGTCCTGTCTCCCCACTGTCCCAGAGCTCCTAGAGGGCACAGGCCTTGTCTTCTCCCATTTAGCAGTCCCGGTGTTTAAGACACACTCAATAAATGTTGCCGTAAGTGGACCATTAACTGAAGCAATGGACACCCCTCCCTTTCATGTCCTCATCATTTATGTATAACTCCCCTCCCTGCCTGGTTCCTGTGTTCCCTGCTCAGAGATGGCCTTCTTGTCTGGTCCAAGGCCCAGCTTTTCTGAGTTAGATGCAGAGAATTCAGAGGTAGCAACTGCAGGTGGATATGAAGGTCTGCAAATGTCGCTGTGTAAGCATGAGGTGCCTGCACTCCCTGTCTGAGCTGCCCCAGGAGAATGTGAGTCAATGTTCCATGCTGCAGCAGGAGTGTGTGTTTGTGTGTGTGTGCATGTGCACACCTGCCCATGAATGTGAGTGCTGGTGTGTGTGCAAGTGTAATATACAGTGTGTATGTATGTGTGAATATGGCGGGGGAGTGTCTGTGCGGTGCATGAGACTAGAGCCTCAGTACTTACTCTGAGCACCCAGCATGCTGTCCTGAAAACAGTGGTGGGCAGAGAAACTATGCAAAATTGGCTTTGAGTTGGACTCAGTCACATGGAAGCTCTGAGGCACTGGCAGGTCACCAGCTAGCTGAGTGGAATTCGATCTCTTCGTCTGTACCTTCAGGAGGAAAGATGCAAGTCCCAGTGAGTTTGGGAGGGCCACCCAGAGGAAGCGTGGAGTCCGGTATCTGGGCCGTGGTGAGAGCTCAGCTCGCCTCCTCACCCTTCCACCTAATGGTGGGAAGCCTGGCACTGCTTGAAGCATCTGGACGGATCGTTACAAACAATGAGGCAAGCACATCTCTTCTCTTATAATAGTGATAATGGTGATAAAGAAATCATGGGCTCTGACTGAGGGTTTTCTCTGTTCAAGAAGGCTTGCATATCTAGCCCGTTCAGTGCTATCCTCAGGCCTTTGTGGGACTACGGACAGCTGAGCTGGCCTGAAGCCACCCAAGGCCATGCTGCTGGCTGGTCCTGGGCCAGGCGCCCCTCCGCAGTCTCTCTTTAATTGCCGACCTCCCACTGAGTCCAGGATGCTTCCCCATCTTCTTCAGCACATTCCTCTGGTTTGGAATGTACAGTTTTGCTAAGTCCAGCTGATGCTCAGAGTCCCTGGGAGGTCAAGGAACCTGGGGCCCAAGTGTCATCTGTCCAGTGACAGAAGCCAGATGCTGTGGAGATGGAGCCAAAGGGAAAATAGGAGGTAAAATGAAAGGGCCAGGAGCCTGGATCCCTCCCCAACCACTGGGCTGAAGAGACAGAGGAAGTGTGCGCAGCTCTGCTTAGACACCTGCGTCTCTGTCACTTTTTGTGGGTACACATCATCCTCCCAGCCATGCCCTGGGCTGGCCAGAGCCAGGAGGAGCAGGCAGGCCCTGCCCTCGGGGAGAGGGGTAGTTAATTTACATGTGGCACAAGCCCCTCATCTTGTGGGTGGGTAAACGGAGTTGTGGGTGGGGGGCAGTCCATGGACCCCACCGAGGAGCACTCCTCTCACACTACGGCTCCAAACAACAAAGTCGCCCAGGACAGCCAAACCTTAGAGCAGCTGTCCTACATTAAGCTTTTATTACATGCCAGATACGGACCTGGCGCTTAGTACACATGTGCTCATTTAACCCTTAAATCAAGGGAACGCTACCTTTCTTTTGCAAATGAGGAAGGCTGAAGCTCTGAGCCATCGGTGACTTGCTATCTAGCCACACAGCTGGTCCATGGTGGAGCTACAGTTTGTACCCACCCCTCATTTGATCCTTAGTTCGCCTATTGCCTGTAGCTACTAATCAGCCAATGTCAATGAGACCAGGTCACCTGTGAGGATTAGGGCCCAAAGGCCAGCTTAGTAGCCCAAGTCTGGACAGCTGAGCCTGTCCAGCCCAGGGAGGGTTAACCAGGGCAGTGGAGGGAGCAGGGAGCAGCAGCGGGAGCCAGTTGTGAGTAATGACCGTGGGGGCTGCTCTCTCTGAGCTCCTTCCCTGCCTTCCCCTTGACTAGGACTCAGCGTGGAGCGAGCTGCAGGCCACGGAGGCTGGATTCCAACTCTGCTCCTCATGAGCAGGTGGCTGGACTTTGGGCAGGTCCTTTCACCTCCTTGGCCTCCTTCTTTATCAGGAAACTGGGGGCTCTAGTCACGTCTACTTGTCCAGAATAGTAAGGGAAGCTGAGAAGTGTGTTTTTATATTTTGTTGTCTTCAAATTCTCACTGGGAAGGAAGGGTTTACTTGGAAGAGAACAATCAATGTGTAGGTAGCATGGAGGGTGTACACAAGACTTTAGACAGTTACAATAGACGGAAATTGACAGCTGGAAAGTAACTAAGTAAGGTCAGGATGCAGGAAGATAAGGCAGGCTCACTGATCCTGGGTGGCTGGAGGAGGGAAATGTAGCTGGCTGCCTTGTGGCTGCAGGGACAGCTGGGAGCTTTCCGTGGAGTGGCCAGACATGTGAGGGGCCACTCAGCGGGCTCCAGAACCCTCAGAAGCCCTCATACCTCTCCATCCCCATCAACAGCTAGGAAACTTTTGTCTCATGGAAGCACATGCTGAGATGAAGCCCCTATCAGCCTGGATCACAGAGTGATCAGACCACAGAGTGACAGCGAGCAGGTGGTTTCCATTCCTCCACCTCGTGATGACTTTGAACATGTAAAATGAGGTGTAAGGGATGTTTGTTTCTGCCTTATAACTTAGCTCACCCTGACTGATGTATAAAGACAGCAGTCAGCAAAGGAGAGAAAACAGCATATGAAAATGCCTGGAGGTGAGAAATAGCCTCTTGCATCTGGTGAACCCTAAAAGTTTTAGTAGGCTGTTGTGCAAAGTCTGACACAGAAACGTGGTGGATAGGTGGGCAGGGCTGAATCTTGAAGTTTCTGCTAAGCTTCACATAGGAGCTGAATATTTTTTCTTGTGATCAACAGGAAGCTATTACAGTCAATTTTAGAAAAATTGCCTTGGAGAATGATTGGAGGTAGACATACCTTGTTTCAGGGAGATCAGTAAGGAGCCTGTTTTAACGAGTTGACAGCTGAGGGGAGGCTGAGCTAGGCCGGGACCCTAGGGTGGAGAAGACAGGTATGCATGTGGAATATTTAACCAAGAAGACTGTAGGACTTGATGGCTGACTGGAGGTAAGGACGAGGGGGAAGGAAGAAGGCAGCCCTTTCCAGAGCCTGAGTTTTTCACAGTCTTGGCCAGTTTTCTTCTGATAAATGCTTTTGCATTCATCATCTATTTTGACCTTCAAAATTGCCCTCTAATTTCAGTTGAGCCGATATTATTGTACTTTACAGATGAAAAAATTGAGTCTCCGAGAGGTAACAGGACAGGTTGCTCAAAAGTCAAACTGCTTGAACTCAGGTCTCTTATTAGCCAATCCGTTCTCATTTCTCTAAACCACCCTGACCTCACTTACTTAGATATGTTAAGGGTGGAAGTTGATTTTGTTTGTGGGGTGAGGTGGAGGAAGGAAACAACTAGGTAAGAGGGATTGAGAGTAGGCAGGCCGTGGCTTTGCAGCCATAGTTACCCAGCTGATTTATGTATGAGAGCTTAGGCATATGCTATACGTATAAAAGACAATAAGTTAGAAGGAAGCACCATATACCACAGTCGAGATTTATAAGACTCAAATGAGTGATTTTTATTCCATTGTTAAGTTCTTTTTTTCCTTCTTACTCTATCAAGGTGTTCCTCATAGGGTTTCTTAAAAGAGCAATCTCAGTCTCCCATGATGCCTTTAAAATGCAATTTGTTGCCCACATTTTGTTAGCATTCCACTGCTTGGTAATGCAGGCCATGCTCAAAATGGCTCACATCCACCTACAGATTTATCCAGCTCGAGAGATTGTTACTTTGGTATTTCCAGTTGCCTTCATGGTTGTTTTGGACAAGGACACAGTGAGTCCAGCCAATTTTTTTTTTAAATGGCTTAATTTCTCCAAATCAAACTCAGAGTAAAATAGTCTGTGGAAGCTCACGGGCAGAGAGGCCATGTGGGCCTTGAGGAGACAGACGGCAGCTGGGAGACTGGGGACATCAAGCAGCTGAGACCTGGGCCCACATCTTCTCTGGGTCTCACTTTCCTCTTCTGTAAGTGATAAGGAAGGGAGAGGCCACTGACTTGACCCTTACGTATTTATTCCATTAATTATTTGTTTGCTTTTTTTTCAAATGCTAAAGCCTTTCCTCAGAAAACAAAACTTTCTGCGGAAGCCCAAACTATAAAGTGAATAAAAAGAAGCAGCCCTTGGAGTCCCACCCTTCTGGCCATCCTTTTATTCCCATGGAAAACCTTGGGAAACCAGGCCAGGGGGGATTTTTAAGGTTAGAGGACCACTCAGGGCTCTTCCAGCTTGGGGCCCACTGAGAAGCTTTGAGTTTCCAGCTGACGTCAGCCCCTGAGCAGTTCCGAGAGCTCAGGAAGGACACACAGCTGCTTCAGGCCTCTGTTTTATCATCTGTAAGTGGGCTTTCATATTGCACTAGAAAAATCTAGCACATCATTCAGATGCACAATTATGTGTTTGGTATGTATTTATAATGTGTGTGTGTGTGTGTAATGCTGATCATTACTGAGCATTAAATATGAGCTGGAACTAATGATAACACTTTACGTGTATTAACCCATTTAATTCTTACAACACTATTAAAAGGCAGTTTTATTCCCCCTCAGCTTACAGATGAAGAAACTGAATCTTAGACAGATGGGATAACTTGTTCAAGGTCAAAAAGCCAGTAAGTGGCAGATGAGAACCCTGGCAGTTTTATACATCTGTGGTACAGACCTTTTCTGAAAACCTAATCCAATCTTTTAATGCTCTGGAAAGTCAATTCTGTGTCCACTACTCATCTAGTCTGACACAACAACCTGTTAATGTGGTGGACAGATTCTAAGGTGACCCCCCAAAAAGCCCTGACTCCTGGCATTCATTCCTTAGTGGGGGCAAGACCTATGACTTGCTTCTAACCACAGACTATGACAAAGGTGACAGGATGCAAGTGATGACATTACATAAGAGTGTCTCCCCTGTCTTACTGGAATCTCTCTTTTACTGGTTCAGTGAAGCAAACAGGCATTTTGGGGGCCCATAGGATCAGGAACTGAGGGGAGCTTCTAGGAACTGTGAGTGGTTTCCAGGCCCCAGCTGACAGCTGGCAAGAAATTGAGGCCTATGTCCAACAGCTGCAAGGAACTTAATGGTGCCAACAATCATGTGAACTTGGAAGTGGATCCTTCCCCAGTTGAATCTACAGATGAGAACACAGCCCTGACTGACGTCCCAATTGCAGCCTTGAGAGGACCCGGGTCAGCTGTGTCTGGACTTTTGATTCTCAGGTACTGTGAAACAGTTAGTGTGTGTTGTGTTAAGCTCATAATATTGTTACATAGCAGTAGATCACTAATACAGTTAAGCTTTCTGGGTTTATCTCTTTTGTTTTCACAAAAATAACTATTACTTAAAATATCCTTCTTTAAGTGAAGCACACTTATGGGCAACAATTAAAGATGTAAAACAGTAAGGAAAAAAGACAACAGATTCCCAGACAACAGAGGGATACGATGTCCTGAATTCAGGTCTGGCATCCCCAGTGCCTTCAGGTCTACTTTGCAGGGATTGATTTCCTACTCTCTCACCGATGCAGCCCCCTCACCAAACCCCACACAACCTGCCTTCATCCAAATGCACGTGCTGTGGCCAGAGCGTGCTCGACAGAGTGGTGCTTTCTTCCTGGCCCATAGGCTTCTCTCTTCTGTAAGCTGTTGCACCAGTTTCTTTGGGAAAACCATTTCTCACCCCTCTCAGCCCCTGTGGATTGGGTGGGATCTAGGACGAGTCAGCACCAAGTCCTTGTCATGCTACATGTAGTATTTCCCAAGTTGCAGAATAGGTTCAGCAATGAGCCAAGCAGGCCGGTGGCATTCGTCTCCAGGACTTCTGCAGGACCTGCTGGGGTAAAGAAGTCCTGCTCAGAAGAGTGGGGCCCCCAGTCATGTAGGAAGTGCCAGGGGTCATGCTGCACAGAGAGCCAGCCTGGGGTGATGCCAATGGAGGGAAGCAGAGTTGAGGGGCCCAGCAAGAGCGATCAGATCCTGGTGATGTGGTTTGAACCTGCCAGAAGTGAGTCCATGCCTAGAGTTTACAGCTATCTAGGCTAATACATTTCCTTTTATGCTTAAGCCAGTTTGAGAATGGTTTCCATCCCTAGCCACAGAAAGAGACACACCCGCCAGGATCAGCTCGCACTCCAGATGACCCCCACTGCTCCACTGAGATGCCTGTGGTTTTTGACATCGGCATTCACATATGATTGTTTCACTCTGTTTGTCAGACATGTCACTCTGCTGACCAAAAAAGCCTAATGACAACAACAGTATCTAACCTGTGGTGACCCCAGCTCTGTACCAGGCATGTAGTGTGAGTTCTCCTCATTGAAGCCTCACACAATCACCCAAGGAGGGATGGGAATAACTCAGCATTGCTTGGCCACCTGCTGGGTAGGTTCTATGTCAAGCCCTTTACATGCACGATCTCATTCAATTTCCACAAAAGTTTATGAAGGAGGTGAGGACTTCATCCCCATGTCAAGATGAAGTAACTGACACTTCAGAGCCACTGAAGTGCCTCCATCTTTCTCATGGATGCAGAGACTAAGCAGCCACATGGCCGCACAAGGTCTTCCTCCGTTCCTGTCTCTGGGGCACACAGGTGGAGGGCTCTCCTGAGGGAACCACTGAGCACAGAGTTGTACCAGCATACTTGGCCTCCGGTACTGGTGACTGCTGGGAAGAGCCAAACATTGAGTGGACACCCACCCCCTGACCCAGCAGGTCTTCTGGGGCAGCTGGATGGGGAGCTTGGATTAATTGCCAGGGATGACAATGTAGGTCAGAAATCTCTGTCTTACACGGCACAGAATGGCTTATGCTCTCTGCAAATACAACCGTGTTTATCCTGTGCTTGCAGGATGCCCCGTGTGCTGTATGGGGGCTTTGAGTCAGCAAATGGCGACTCACCCCTCTTGTGGCCTGGGCATACCCTGTCACTACCCTGGGGCTCTGGGGCTCACTGCAGCCCAGGCTGAAGGAGCGGGGGCTCTTGGGCATGAGTTCCCAATGGTGCATGACTGGAGCACAAGAAACCAAGCTTAACCAGCCACGCACACCAAATAGTTCCCTTCTAACTAGTGTTTGGGTCACTCCATCGGTCAGAGCAAGCCCCAAGTCCAAGGTCAGCATTAACGGAATGAGAAAATATACTTCTTTCATGGAGGCTAGAGGGAAGAATAAATCTGCCATTTAGGAAGTAGACATATTATTCCCATTAGGCAGGGGAGAAAATTGAATCTCAGAGCGACCGACTGACTTGGCCAAGATCACGCAGAGGTAGAGTCGAATTTGAACCCAGAGCCTGTCTGTAGTGGCAATGTGAGACAGGGGCAGAACAGATGAGAAAGGCTGATGGCTGCTGACGACAGGCTTCCTCCTGAATTCTTGGAACAGTGAGGACAGGAAGCAAGCGGTGCACCCCGGTGTCCCTGGGATCCAGCCCGACCCTGTCTCCCAGGCGCACGGCCCTGGTCAGGTGCTCAGCTCTCTGGGTCCCAGTCCCTTTAAGGCTGGACAAGGGTAATAAGTCTTAGCTCACAGCCTTGGTAAGAAGTAGGTACAACGAAGCTGAAGTGGGTGACTCAAAGTTTGCCCTTGGAAGGGAAAACATTTGAAATTTTAGAAAAATGAAAGAGATGGTGAGAACAGCCAACCATAGAAGGGACATTTTGTGTAGAGCGGGGAGAGGCACTGCCCATCCCATTTCTCCACCAGCTTTCAGGAACTTCTCCTGTGCAGAGGACCAGCATAGCAAACCTGGTGTGCAAAGAGCCTCGCTCCCTGTGGGTTGGACCTGGAGAAGTTGTCGTTTCTGAGCGCCGGAGCCCAGACAAGTCTCTGAAGAACTGGCAGCCCAGGGTGTCTGCCTTTGCACTTTCTCAGGCGTCGTCCTGTCTGTACCCTCTCAGGGTCTGGTAGAGGGCCTGGCAGTGAGCAAGCACTCAGAAACACCGGTGATGCATTCACACCCCCACTTACAACCTCAGTCCCTCCCTGGGGATGGAGGCTGGGGCATCTTCCAGCTATATTCAATCAGCTTTTAATAAGCTTATTTTTTCCTTGGCATGCTTTGCCCTAAAAGCTGTTTTCTTTCCCATCCCCACCTCAGAGGTGTGGGCCATTATGACTGCTATCACACTGCACCAGTGCCTGGGCAAGGGTGAGGGCTTCTTATTCTGGTGTCATGCTCTCTCCATCATACCAAGCATGGAGTGTTGCAACAGTCTGTTCATTTGTTCGCTCATTCATTCATTCATTTCGTCATGTAGTGGAAATAAAAGGAGAGGATACATCTTAAAATGAGACCTATTTCACATGCCGATAACATCGCAAGGGGACTTCCTCTGCAGAAGCATTTCCAGCCTCTCTGTTGCACCTCCCTTTACTCTCCCCTTCCCCCTGCACCCTTCCTTCCTGGCAAGGAGAAGTGACTGGAGGATATACTGGTTGGTGAGAGGCTAAAAGCAGTGAACTTTCAATCTTTAGTCCAGGCTGCAGCTCATCTGGGTGAAGTTCAGTGTGGCAGGTCTCTCTCTCTCTCTCTTTCCATCTTACTCCTTCTTAACAGATAGAAAGCAATGATTCTTTTTCCCACCTGGCAGGTGAGGATGAGCTTTGCAGACTTTCCCAAGTCCTTGGGAAAATGGAGGTCTTATATAACCGGATTATGACCAGGATGCAAGCTATGTTTTCTAATCAAGCTTTAGCAGTATTAATACTGATCTCTGAAATCTCCACTTCTTTGACATGTGTATCTATTTCTTGACTGATTCTGAAATTAGAGGGAAGCATGGCAGCGATTAGCCATCACCCTTGAATCTCAATAGTGACTGAAGCAGATTTATCAACTGGATCCACTTTAATGTTACTTAAGAGAGATGAGGAAATAAATCATAATTAACATGGAATTACTATGAGTGGCTGGACTGAATATCCCATCTCTGGAGCCTGAGTTACCTGGTATTTCAGGATGTACCGGGGTTGCTCTTTGAGCACCGTAGTGCTTTCTGGTGTGAAGAAGTGCAGTCTGGTGGGCCCGTCTGGCTCCTGGGGATCTTAGGGGATAGCTCTACATTCAAGGCCTTTTGTTTTTCCTCTGCAGGTTAAGAGTAGAAGGTTTAGCAAGGAATTAGGGAGACTCCAAGGGGAGTCTTTATGGAAATGACCAGAATCCCAAATAGAAAAACAAAATTCTTTGAAAATATTCTGGACTGGAGGACACCGTGTGGGTCATCCACAGTGTTCTGTCTCCGCTGCCTGTTACGGTGCAGTAGGTCCCTGAAGCTGAGCCGGGAAAGTGACGGTAACAATGGTGCAACACAGCTGACTCCCCAATGAACACTTTGCTGAGAACCTTCCCTAACGCACAGAATCTCCACAACAGCCCTTTGGGGTCTTGCATACCCCCCACTTTGCAAATGAGGAAGCATACAGAGAAGATTAGTAACTTAAATAAAATTTTTCACATGTTAAGTGGTGGAGCTTGTTGGGGACGGCCTTTGTCTTCTCACAAGTTTGCAGGCAGAATGGGAAAGCACCTTCCCCCATGTCTGATCGCAGCACGGGAAAGCACCAGCTTGAGAGCAACCGGTGCAGTTCTTGGAAGTTATCTGCTCACAAAAACAGATCTTGTCCTCGAAGACGAGCCAAGACTCCTCACTCTGAAAATAGGGAGACCTTGAGGATGTGTGAAAACACCGCCCCTGCTTCTGGCCTGCCCCCCCTGAGAAGGGAAAGATGAGTATAGCACTTGGCTGAGGTCCGAGAAAGGCAGTATAAAAATAAAGGTACTGCGCCACATCGGGGCGGCAGCCATTGTCTGTCTATCTGTGTTGTCTGTGTTTTTTGTTCTCTCATCAGGCACCCAAACGTGGGGCATCCTCTCAGAATGAGTTGTACATATAATCAGTCCACACCTCCCCTTCAGACTGTTCGACTTCGACGGCAGGCACCGTCAGGAGCTGACATTTGAACTCAGCTCTCTTGGGTTCCAAAGCCAGCTCAGAGCTACTGCTTTCAATACTAACAATGACAAAGCTGTCCAATCACTACAATTACTCAACAGAAATAATCAGCACCTGCCTGGTGCCCCATAGGTGCCCCTGTGGAGGAGTTATAGGGGCAAAACAGCACTGGCCAGGATCCCCCAGAGTGCCCTGTCTAGTGGCAAAATTGGACTATGTAGAATCACAGAAACAGTGTTAAGGGTACTTTGGAGTAGACCCTTATCTCCCCATTTTACAGGTCAGGAAACTGAGTCCCAGAAGAGGAAGTGAGCTGCCCAGGGCTCACAATGGTGGGACCCAGAAGGGTCATATTCTAAACAAGCTGGGACCACACTGAGGCCACAGAGGGACCTAGGGGCCCAAATATAAGGAGGCTCTCAAACTCTGATGCTGAAGGTGCACTGGCATAGTTCCGAGAGTCAGTGACTCCTTTGTACCTTAGGACCCTCCCTCCTGCCTCATCCCAGCCCTGACCTTGACTACAACCCTGACCCCTGACCCTAGGCTTCCACCAGAAAGCCTGTCTTCCTGCATTCCTACCAGGAGCCCTTGCCAATGGCTATTCCTTTCTGTCCTTTTTTTCCCTGTAGACTTTTATCAAATTTTATCAGATGAGACATAAAACACCTTCTGAGGTTTCAAAGGTGATTATCAACGAGCTCAGAAGCTCTAGGGCCGGGGGCTCTACTTCACCCAATTGTCCCAGGTATGGATTGTTTCTTCACTACTGTGTTTAATCAGTCTGAGACTCCAGTGATTTTAAGACACATTCTACCTTTGGAGATGTTAAAATAAAAACAAAATGCCTGTTTTGGACCCAATGAAATAGTGAGAATGATATGCTTGATGCCTTGTTTGGGCCCCTTTGACAAGTGGGACACCGATGCTCAGAGTCTGAGCGTCTCCTTCCGGGCCACACGTCTCCCTCGTGCAGCCCTGGCCCTGGGCCCGACCCTCCATCTCCCGTCCTGCACTTCTTTCCTGGGTCAAATCTGACCCTAGAATCATCATTTTTTTCTACTATGCTTTACACAATAAAAAATCTCTTTTTATTGGGGCAATCAGGGGCCCTGGAGCAGAGACAAGAAGAGTGGCTTTACTCTGCCCACAGCCATTTCTTATGACACAGTTAATTCTGACCTTAATTTTGACAATCTTGGGGCTCTATAAGAAGGGAGGGGAATAGAAATACGTAAATCACACCACCTACTTTTTTAACTCTTTCTTCATGTCATTGTTCTCCTTCCCTCAGGCCTGCAGTGGGTGCCCAGGAGGAGAGGCAGCAAGACCTGTGACTCAGATGCCTCCAGGCGCAGGAGGGCCCAGGCCGAGGAGGGCTGCAGGCTGCCTCGGTGGCTCCCACCCTACGTTTGTATGATGAACCAAAAAAGTAAACAAAAGGGAAGCATTACATGTGTCTTTAGGAGACACATTTTCACAAGTCAGCAAAAATCAAGTAAGTTGTACAAATATTTGGTGAATAACCCATGCCTGTCTTTAGAAATGGGAGAAGTCAAAGATCTTAGATGTTTGGTGATGTTTATTCTGAACTGTCCAAATATTATGATTGTACTCAGGCTGTGGAGGTCAGATAGACAAACAAATGCCTGTTCCTACCGCCTCCTCATCACACAGTGCGGAATGAAGTGAGTGCGCGAGATGTGAGCAGACTCTCCCGATGGAATGCTTTGCTGGCCCAGGTATGGAGGAGAGAACATGGGGTGTGGGGGGCCAGGCAGAGCTCTGTTTGAATCCTGTGTGAGTTCTTAGCAATCTTAGTCACCTTAATAGATGTTCCAGCTCTCTGAACCCCAGTCCCCCCTACAGACCACTGGGGACTTCCGTGAGCTGGCAGGTGTCTTGTTCTTGACACATGGTAGGTAGTCAGTCCATCAGATCCCTCTTCCTCTCTCCTTCCTCATCAAAAGCCCTATTTGCGCCCTCCCCAGTGTCTGCTTCCAGCCCCTTTGCGGCCCTGCGAGACTTGGGGTTCCCCAGATAGAGTGCCTAGAGCACTTGGGTATGGGTATTTTATTTTAGAGGTGACCTCAGGAAGCAGAAGGGACAGAACAGAAAGGGTGAGACCGGAAGAGGAAAAGCTCACGCAGGGTGCCATGGAGGCCCTGACTTTGCTGGGCTCTCTGAGAGGACCCAGACTGCTCCCAGAGCTGCCCCCCTGAGGAGAGAAGGCCTGGCATTGCCCCACCCATGGGGGTTACTCCAGCAGCTGGGGGGCGATTATCCACCCAGCCCCTGCACACCGACACCCAGTTCTTCCGGACTGTGCTCATGAAATAGGAAACACAAAATCTCTTTTGAATGCGTTTGCTTCCACCTCTGTCTACCACAGCTGTGGCTGAGATCAGATGTGAGCCAAGGAGATTTGACACCAGGTACCACAACCACCTGCTTTGCGAGGCGTAGGACAGTCTTCACTTGAAAAATCTAATGTCCTTGGTCATAAGAGACGGGGCTTTGACCTCTGCTTACTTACCAGCTAAATACCTTATTCACGAGACTGAACACTTCAAGCTTCAGTTTCCTCATCCATGAACTGGAAGAATAAATGAGGTAGCAAACATGTAAGAATTAGAAGAGTGCGTGGAAGATAGTGGGAACCTCCAAAACATGTTGTGTTATTGTTACTGGTGGTGTTAGCGGCAGTGGCCGCAGCAGTGGGGTGGTGGTGGGTCATGTTGGGAGAGCTCTCAGGAGCACTGGGGTCTGCTCTAGAGCCCAGAGATTTACCCACAGTCCTGCCAGCTCTCCAGCCTGGTGATGCAACATGACATCTGTAGACCAGCAGCAGCATCGCCTGGGAACTGGTTACAAATTCAGAACCCCCACCCCAGCCCCCGACGTAGGAATCAGAATGTGCATTTTAGCAAGATTTCCTGGGGCTCTGCATGCCCCTTACAGTTTGGGAAGTCTCTGGCCTGGTGAGAGTTGGACATGGGCACTGAGGCGGCAGCTCTGGGGAGGAAGAGCAGGACAGACATGAGACGGCTTTAAGATGGGAGGGCAGGGCTTGGTGACAGTTTCAGTGAGGGTGTGCAGGGAAAGGATGAGTTGCTAGGCTGTCAACCTCTTTTCTTTCCCTTGCAGTATCTGTGGAGCATCTGGGTAAACTATCCAGGAACAAGTGGACTCAGTGAATCTGGAACAACAAGCGGTCGAGCAGGAAGCTCTAGATCTTTGTGTAAAAAGCAGATTATATTAAGAACATGGACTGATCAGACACCTTTGGTGTGGCAGTAATAGGCAAGGTCCTTTCCACACACCATCTGCACATACCTGGAGAGCAGGGTGCAGTCATTGCCCATTTTACAGATGAGAAAACTGATGTGGAGTTGTTTTTGACCTTATCACTGAGGTAATAAGTAGAGGAGAGAGACTTCAAAGCCAAGAAGGCTGAGACCAGAGCATTTGCTTTTCCCAGTGGTGCCGAACTAAACACAGAGGACCATGAGGTTTCTGGAACATTCCTTTCATTTAATCATTTACTAAGAAATTGCACATGTCCTCTATCTTAACATCCTTAGGCAGACACTAGCATTGCTCTTTTCCTTTATGTATGAGAGGAAACAGAGGCTCAGAAAGCTGATGTAAGTGTTGAAGGTCCATAGCTAGCAAGTGATAGAGTAAACACGGAGACATTTCATCACACCGCGATGCGGACCCCTAACATGGCTCACCTTTTGACTATAATGATGTTAGTTGTCTATTCAATATCCATTTTTCTTCCTATTTGTTGATTTTGTTCAGGGTGGCAATGTACCCAGCATCAGGTGTTGAATCATAATGTTGAATCATTTAGATAGAAGTGTAATGGATGTGATAGCTGGACAGACAGCAGTCATTTTGCAACTGTGAGGCAACTCATAAGGCTGGGAGAGAGAACAACTAGTAGCAGCTTTGGTCTTTGCTCTCATGGTCAGGCAGCCCAGCCAACACTTGAAGCTCCCTACCTCCAGACCTTTCATATGGAACAAAAAGTACCTATTCGTTTAGCCATTATTAGTCCAGCTTTCTAATATTTGCCTGTGAACACATTCCTGACACATCCTTCTAAAAATGAAGATAGTGGTTATATTTATCCAGTGGTGCTTTTGTGAGAACAGTGCAGAACCCACACTCAGTACTCAGTAATGGTGGCTGTTATCATCTCACCATATGGCTCTGACACCATCTGAGAAGCTTTTCCTGTTTCCCAGGCTTATCTCATCCTGGAGCAATGGCAATCTGCAGGGGTCTCCTCCAGTCAGAGTTTATCCCAAGCCAATTAGCCCTCAGCTCTGGAACTCATTCCATCCCTGCCTGTCATTCATCATCCTGTCAGCCTGTCCCAAAGGCTCTGCCAGATGAGTATGGGAATGTCCTGGGGGGATTTCCCAGGGCATGGATAACGGACATGGCCTTCCCCCCACCGCCTTTCCTGGTGCCTCCGAGTGGGCTGCTGCTGGTCAATCTCAGATCCAGGATCCACTTCTGAGTGACATCAGCCCAGGCCTTCTCCTTCGGGTGCAGAGAGGGAGCAGGGCCTCACGAGGCAGAGCTGGATAGCAGGAGTTGTACAAGGGGGCCTCTGTGTCTCACATTCCAGGGGTGTCATTCACCCCTCCTTACTGTGGTGCCTCTGGGCTTGTAAGGTGCCTGCACTGCTGTGTGGGCTGCATGCAGGAGTCCTGCTGGCTGCAGAGCTGCAGCCTTCTGGATACACTGTGTCGCACTAGCTTTTTATAAAGAGGACACTAAAGAGCAGAGAGGTTAAGTAACATGCTAAAAGTCACACAGCACATAAAGAATGGAGCCTGGATTTTGAAAGACTCTGTCTATTGGCTCCAAAGCCTTGACCTACATGTTTCTATCTGACCTGGCTCCTGCCACCTGTTAGGATACATCTGCTTATTGTGCTATGGCCACACTGTTTGTTCTCTAATTGTTTAAACTTGTCTTGTCCTAGGCCTTTTGCACTGACTCCTCTGCCTGGGGTGATCTCTTCCTGTCTCATCAGTCAAGTTTTAGTTCAAATGTCAGTTCATCATAAGACTGTCCCCTCTCCCAACAACTCTGCAAGTCAATTCCATGCTCTACTGATTGGTTTGAAACCAGTTTATCTTTGTGTTACTGTCCATCTCTCCTGGGAGAATGTAGTTCCATGAAGAAACGAGCTGCCGGCTCTTTCACTGTTATTTTGTTGACACCTGCATCTAGCACAGAGTAGGTGCTCAGTATTTTCATTTTAGTGAATTAAAGGGTTGGAATTTGGATTTTTGAAGAGAATCATCTGGCTATAAAGGAAGTCATTAACAGCAGCGAAAAGGGGTAGGGGGTGTGTGGAGCTTCATGCTGTCTTTGCAACTTTTCTGGAAATCTAAACTGTCCTAATTAAACAGTTTATACAAGCAAACAACCACAAGGAAACATATAGGGCACTGCTGCGGCTTGCCCTGATGGCGGGCACGGGGTACGGTCACACACACAGCAGAGGCGGGGCGAAAGCTTCTGAAAACTGTCCCCATCAGGCAGTGAGCTGACCTGCAGGACTGTGTCCACCCAGAGGGGTGCCTCTCTGCACCTACCCACCCAGTGGGGCATCTTTTTCAAAGGCATTCAAAGGTTGCTTCGAGCCTAGAGGGGCCCTGCCTTCTCACCACCAGTCTCATCTCTGCTTCGATTTCTGCCTCTTGCTGTGTCCCACAGCCGTTAAAGAAGAGCCAGCCTTTCCACAGAGCTTCACACAGCACCACAACCACAAACCTTCCAGGCTGCCCCAATGCTCACCCTGCTGGCGATGCGCGTCCATGCCCGAAGCAGACCCACTGCTGACCAGGTGCCCGTGTGTCTCTCTGGGTGCTGCACGCCCTCTGGGTACACTGGCCTGTTTCCTTCTCTCCTCCCTCATGTCACTGTCTTTGGTCACCTTCCTGGTTCAGTGGAGAGAGCACACGATAGGGACGCACCATCTTAGGTGGCCATCCCTTCTGCCACCTCAGAGCATTCTGTCCCGTAGGTGACCCTCAATTTCTAAATGTTTACAACTGGACTGCCCGTGTGACCTTGGGTGAGTTCTTGCATTCTCTGCGGGCCCTGGCTTCCTGTCTGTGAGCGGAGGACAGTCATAGTTCCCATTTCAGAGGGTGCTGTGAGTTAATACACGCAATGCTCTTGGAAAAGTGCCTGGCAAACAGGAAGTTCTCAATAAATGTATTACTACTGCTACTAATATTATTATGATGATGATTAGAATAACATGCACCAATAGGTGAAAGTGATCTTCCCCCAAACCGGTCCTAATCGGGGTCTTCCAGTGCATAAAAACCTCGAACCTTGTATTAGTTTCCGTTTGCTGCTGTAGCAAACTGTCTGAAACTTATTGCCTTAACGCAACACAAATATGTTATCTTCCAGTTTTGGGGATCAGAAGTCCAAAATGGTTTTATGAGACCAAAATAAGGGCATAGGCAGGGCTGCTGCCCTTCTGGAGGCATCAGGAGGAATTTGTTCCTTGTGTTTCCCAGCTTCTAAAGCCCCTCCCAGTGCCAGGTGCCCTTTCTTGGTGGCATCGTTCTTGCTTCCACTGCGTCATCTCGCGCTCTGACCCCGCTGCCTCCCTCCTCGGAAGAGCTGTGTGGTCACACTGGGCCCACCCAAGTCCTCCAGGGTTAACTCCCCATCTCAAGACCCCTAATTTAATGGAACTCTGAAGTCTCTTGTCAGGTTAGGTAACTAGCCACAAGCCTGAGGTTAGGGAGGCGAATGTTTCGGGGGTGGGGTCATTGTTCTGCCCACCACGATCCGCTTTAGGATAAAGTCTGCATTTCCCACACTAGCATCACAGCCTTCTGTGTACTGATCTCGCCCTTTCCCCGCTCTCTGTAACCAGCGTCCTGAGGGGTAGGGAGGAGGGTGTTGAAATGAAGGCAGTTACAGAAGAGAACTTCCAACTGAGTATTAGACAAAGAAATCCACAGACGTTCGTTTCCGGCCATGTAGACTTTGTCACTACCCATGAGAGTCCCTCGGCCGTGGACTCCCCACGGGTGGGAGTTCTCTCTCCTTTGCCTCCTTTAGAGCGCAGACCCCCCTTCCCTCCCCCAACTCTTTGCTGTTTCTCACTGCCTCGCCGTAACACAGGTGACGGTGACTGGGAGAATAAGCATTTATACAAAGCGCTGTGCGTGTTTCCAGCAGTGTCACGTGTATCCTGCACCCCTCACCCCTCCTAAGCATGCTGTGACGTAGCTTACAGGTGAGGAAGCTCAGTGATGCTTCATGTTTTAAAATGTAGGTTTTAATATTATTTTTACTATTATTCAGCATGGTGAGGCCAGCAGATCAGGACACGACTGCCATTGAAAAGGTGGTTTGTTGCTCTCGGCTCCCAGGAGGAGGCAGCGTGCTCACCATGCAGGGCCACACGGGGAAGCCCAAGGTCAGGCAGGAGGCAGCAGACGTTGGGGAAGAGGGGACAAGGCCTTTATTGTGGTTTCTGCAAGAAAAGAACCAGCAAGACAGGGTAAGCAGCCTAGGACTGGCTGGGACATCAGGGTCCCTATTTGTCTGGTTCCTGATCCGGGTGATTAGGGCAGGTGGATGTGGCCTGGAGTGGGGGGTGGTGGGTGTGGGCTCCAGATGGACTGGGTCCCATGTACGGCCAGGAGATACTGACTCCCTCTAGGAACTAGCTGCCTGGGAGGGGAATGCGCTTTGGTGTCCGCAGTGCCCCAGAGCTCAAAGCATCAGCATAAAAAGACACGTTTGATACACTCGAGAGTGCAAACTGAATCATGGAAGTCCCGTGCCACCATGGGATCAACTCTGGTGAGTTGGGTTGGCTGTGGGGGCTGGGCACCGTGCTGGAGGCTGGAGGTAAATAAACGAGAGCAAACAGTCTCTGTTCCCAAAGATTCAAGTCTCTGGGTGAGAATGGACATGAAAATCTCCCCTGGCAATCTGATGTAGTTTATTCCAGGTTGGAGATAAATATAAAGCATGATTTGATGAAAGGGAGGAGGGACAGCAAGCAAACGATGGAGCTAAGAGGTGGCAGGAGCTCGACACAAAGGATGACTAGGAATTTTCTGGAAAGGTTAACACTGCAGTTGTACTTAAGAAGAAATAAGAAACTTAGGAAGTACGTAAAGACAGGCTGCATCTGGGAAATAGTACTAAGAAGGCCTGAGGGGTCAGGAACCAAGCTGGGTGGCAGAAGGGTGGCCACTGGGGACACCACGAAGCATGAATGCGTCAGGGGTGATCTTAGCAACAGCATCTGTTGAACACTGTCCATGGCGAGAGGGCTGTGCAGTGGGGCTGAAGCCCAGTCCCTGCCCCCTCTCTGGATCCAGGGGTGCGGGAGGGTGACTCGGTCTGTAAGCCACCCTGCCATGTGCACAGTGATATGACTGTGGCCCCTTTACTCCCTCATCCCAGGCCACCCAGAAACCCTGCTTCCCAGGCGTGTCTCCACCATCTACCTGGGAGGTCTTTACTGCGGCAGCCACCTCCCGGGGGGCACCTACAGACAGACCTCTCTGCAGGAGGCTGTGAGTGTGTCTTTCTATGGAAAGATTTGTAAGATCTCATCAAGTTTGTCTGCAGAGGCCCTGAGAGATGCCTTCTGCTCTTTTCACGTTTCTTCCACAGCAGTTACCTGCCTGCATGAGGTCCTGCTCTGCTCCCCACCAGAGACAGGGGGCCATTTTCTCCAGGTCCACCCATTCCTGCTGTGGCTGACATTAGGATCAGGGCACATCCTCTCTGCCATCAGCACCTTCGAGGGAGTGAGTCCCCTGGTTCAGGCAGCCTTTGCACCGCTCTGCAGGGATGGGCCCATTCTCTCTTGGGCAGCTTCTGTGTTGTCAGCCTGGCAGCTCAGGGCCCAGGCGCATTCTGCACTCAGGCTTGGAGGCCCACCCTCTCTTCCCGCTCTCTGCACAAACGCTTCTGGGCTGGGAGTGAGATGGTCACTCACTTGTGCAAAATGTCAGGAGCTCCAAATACTCAGTCATCACGACCACTATTTCCCTGGCAGATTTCAAAAAGAAAACCAAAATTAATGCCAAATATCCATGATGAATGAAACATCGAACCGTTTAACAAAGACAGCATCTGCGTCTGCTCTTGCCTGTCTCATCACCCCAACAGTCTCCCCCTCAGCTCCTGCATTTATTTTTAAAAATGGATCTTTTGTTCATCATGGAGTTTTGCATTTTTATTTTTTTGAATATTGAGTTGATTGCTCTTGCTTAAGGAGTTTCTCAAAGCCCTGTTAACATTTCACTCGGGGCCAGCTTCTAACTCGCCTGGCTCTTGACCTTGCCCAGCTTAGGACTCAGTGGACGGAGGCCATAGGTCCTCAGTGGATTCTGGACGAGTGTTTGCTGTGCTCCCAGAAGTCCCCAAGGTCTGGAGTTGGGGCTGAGGGGCCGTATAGTGGGAAGCCTCACAGTGGTTGAAGCCATTAACAGAACTCCCCAGTTTGGTATTACCAGCTATAATGCTGAGTGGTCATTTGTGTCTCCAAATACCTGGCAGCTGCTTGTCTGTGAAACTTCATTTGTGCTCCAAGACATGTTTCCTAGAGAACTGAAGAAATGAAAGAATGGGTCCTTAACTGCATTTGCAGGTACCCGTAGAAATCTCCCTGCAGACTGCCAAGAACCTTTTTGCGTACACCGTGTCCAGATTCCACCTCTTTATCCTCTTCCTTAAACTGCAGATGTTAGAAGAGAATGCTTTCCATGCTTTACAACATTGCACAGATGCATGCATTGGCTAACTAGGAATGGTAGTAGTAACCAAAAGTATAGCAGCTCAACTAATGGAGACTCGGCACTTAAACTTAAAAATATTGAGCAATTGTGAACAGATAGAACCAGTTTTCTCTGCAGCATATGTATCGCACCCCCTCTGCCCCTTCCGCCACAAGACAAAGAAATTAACTATTCTTTTGAAGATCACTGGGAAGTATAAAAGAAGAAAAAAAATAACATAGAAAGATAATAGAGAAGGAGAAGCCAGAGAGGAGAAAGTCTGGACTATTTCTACAGTTGCACCTTGCTGAGGGTGTCACCAACTCCTTAATGGGAAGAAACCGGAGTTAAGAAAAATAAACCAGCGAAAGATATTGCACATTGAATATATTGTTGGATTCACGTTAATTTTGTATAATTTTTGGTGTAATTAATTCATTCTAAACTAACCTTTTGATGTCTTCAGAAAGCCGTCAGTGAAAGGTGCCCTTAGACTGGATAAGCTGAGTTAATTAGCTTGACATTGAATAATAATGCCTTAAAAACTCTAGCGCCTAAAACATTAAAACAAACAAAAAACCTCTAGTGCCTGTGTTGGGAGAACCAGATAATAAATTCATGCTACGGAAAGGTGCCTGAGCAGGGCTCACTCAGGGAACGGGGTGTACTGGACCACACCGATGGTCTCCATTTTTGAGCCCCTGATATGAGTTGGGCCCCATGCAGAGCGAGGAGGATGGAGGTGGGATGAGCCCTCTTGCCCTCAGGGAGGTTACAGTCTGGGAGGTAAGGCGCAGGCGTCCCCCTTTCCTTCCTCCCTTCCTTCTTCTTTCCTTGCTTCCTTCTTTTCTCCCTTTTTCCTTTCCTCTTTTCCTTCCTCCCTTCCACGTTTCCATTTGTTCATCCATCACACATTCACTGAACAACATGAGCCCTCACTTCAGTCCCCAAAGGTCATCAGCGGCCAGGTGCAAATCCTCTAGCCCCTGAGTTGACTTCAGCACATATTTCGTGAGTAGCTTCCATGTGCCTGACATTGTATAAGCCCTGGGAACTCCATGATGGATGAGATGCAGTTCGAGCTCCCAAGATTTCTGTCTAATGCAAGAAACAAATGTACAAACCAGAAGTTTCAGTTCACTGAGACAAGCGTTAAAGCAGGCTATGCACCTACTCTCAGGACGTCACTTCACCTACACAGTAAGATAGGTGATTTATTTCCACACTCATTACTAGTTACGACACCTCCATGCACGATGCTTTCAGAACCGAAAGTAAGAACCAGCTCTGTTAATGCCCAGATCAACCATTCATGTTCTTCTTTGTCTGCCCTTCAGAATTCCCCACTCGATGGGGAAAAAAACAGTGCGAAGTTATATTTTAAGTCTTAATGCCCTATGAAATAATAATGGGGCTTGTACAGAAAATTTCATTTGAAATTATAGAGTTCTCATGTCAATGTATCAAATGATTTTTCCTGGTGCTTTAGTGTCTCACAGATTGAATAATAAAACATTTAGGGAGAGGTGGTGAATATTTCCATGAGGTAGTAAAAGTTTGATTCTCTCATAAAAGAATTTGAGAGAAAATGAAAAAGTATTGACATATGCATAAGAAAAAATAAAATAAACATTAAGGAGACCAAATGAAATGTTATAGTGGTTCTCTGGTGGACTGGGTATTGTAAGTGGTATTTATTTCCTTTCCTTATTTTTATATAGCCTCCAGAAATTCTGCAACGAGCATATATTGCTTCTATGTTTAGAAAATAAACGTTACTTTTTAAAAGGCTTTTGGTGACTTGACAATTGAATTTTGTTGGTGGGCTTCCATCTGTCCAGAACTTTTCTGGAAGGGATTAAGAATTGCCTAGTGTGAAGCTCTCATTTCTAAAGTGAAAATACCGCAGTTTAGAAATAAATTTATGAGCAGGGCTCCTAAGAAGACAGAGCTGCCTTCACCTGCCCAAGGTGAGCTGAGCAGGGGATGCCAGCCTTCGGTTGAAAAGCCCCCTGCCTTAGGACCCACTAGCAGGTATGAGCCTTCACAGGACCTTACACATGTGTTAACAAAGTGGATCAGAAGTGAGTTGATACTTGTTATCACAGATCATATTAATGAAATAAGCAACAGTGACCAATGTTTGTTCTTACCTAATGCTTGCTCCATGCCAAGCTCTGTTCTACAGTCCTTGTATGTTAACTTATTTTAATGATGATGAGCTGAGTGAACCAAGAGAAAAGATTCAGACACACTGGGGTCTAGTCAGTTCAATGCTCTAGGCTGAGCTCCTTAATTCAGAAAAGATGCCCATCGCTGCGTTCATCAGAGGGCTGATATGCGGGGGGAAGTGAGATGATGTGGGTGAACTAAACCCCCTCACCAACTCATTCACTCATTCACTCAACAAACACTGCCATATATTTAGTTTAATCCTAATTTTAAAAAGTGAGAGAGCAGTAATACTGCCTGCCTGGTGCTCTTTTTGGGGGGATCTGGAGTTCCCCCACTTCATGGTGATCTTGAAAAGATCCCCTTGAAGGCTATGTCCCAAACCAGGCTAAGCAGAGACTTCTGGGAAGAATGCTGGGTAAGGGGTCCCCTCAATTGGGATTGCAGATGTGTGTAGATGACACATCTTATAAAGGTCACACCTGAGAAGCAGGCAGCACAGCACTGGCCATGCAGAGGGAGGGATGTAGGCAACAGGGTCCTCGCTCTGTGGAGCCAGCCAGGCTCACACTGTCCTCCTCCCGTGGGGTCCTCCTCCCCTGGGGGCCTCCTCCCCTGGGGTCCTCCGCTCCTGGGGCCCTCCTCCCCTGGGGTCCTCCCCTGGGGCCCTCCTCCCCTGGGGTCCTCCCCTGGGGTCCTCCCCTGGGGTCCTCCTCCCCTGGGGTCCTCCTCCCCTGGGACCCTCCCCTGGGACCCTCCTCCCCTGGGATCCTCCCCCCCTGGGGTCCTCCTCCCCTGGGATCCTCCCCCCCTGGGGCCCTCCTCCCCTGGGGTCCTCCCCTGTGGCCCTCCTCCCCTGGGGTCCTCCTCCCCTGGGGCCCTCCTCCCCTGGGGTCCTCCTCCCCTGGGGTCCTCAGCTGCATGGCCTGGTACATTCCTGGTACACTGACTTCTGATCATTGGAACTAAAAAAGCCTCTTTCATGGTATAAAATAAAACCTGGAAAGAATGGTGACAAAGTACTAGCATTGAAGACAAGGTGATTTTTATTTCCTTTTTCCTTTTTTTCATGCATTTTAAGCAGTGGTTTAGAAAGATTGTATTCTTTCATGGTAAGAAAAAAATAAACTGTAAGTGTTTGAGAGACTGCCCAGTGACACCTGCACTCCATTCCTCAGCGCTGCTGGGACTCTAAGGACCAGAAGCTAGTTTGTCACTGGGGTGGGCGGTCCCCCCTCAGCATTTCGGTTTGGGGCTACGTCCCTTCTGGCCCCTCTTAGGGATTTGAGCTCCGTCATGCTTTTTTATTGGGATGGGCAGAGAACTTCTCAAAACCATAGAACTCCCTTCTTTTTTCCTCTTATGGTTTGTTCTGGTCATTGTCATGGTGATCGTCAACTCTCATGGCACCAGTGGGATGTCATTTAGTATGAAAAGTGCGTTACAATGAAGTTAGAGATTCTTTAGGGGGGCAGCAAGTGAGCTGCCATCTTGGATCCCACCAGTTTCTGCTGGTCTGGTCCTGAGGGGGGACTCTTGACTGTAATATCCTATTTCTTAGTCTAAGTGGGGTGAAAGTTCATTTAGGGATTTAGGCAGGGTCAAAGCAGAGTGAAAGTTCAGCTGTGACACATATACATGATACTGGATATAACACTGGGAGACACAACCTATTTGCTGTCACCCCTGCCATCAGATTTCTGTTGTAGGCAGCAGATCTCCTAACTGACAGCATGTGAGCAAATGAGGGACCCTAAGTGAACAGATGGGGGTGCAGGAAGGGCACTGGGAGGGCATCAGCACTGAGTCTGGTCCAGTGACCCAGGTCCAGGCTGATAGTCATGGTGTCCCTGGACCCGCTCATCTCGTAGCGAACTGGGGTTTTCTGTGAGGCCGATGTCTGAACTTTTCTCTGCAAGCAGCCTTTGCTTCTGTCAGCAGATGCAAGGTTAAAGGGATCCTTGATGATAAATCCTGTATCACCATCAGTGCTAAATGACACGTTAGTAGGTCTGTAGTTCTGTAGTTCTGGAACTACAGAAATGAGCCACATGCACGTGAACAAAATCATCCCAATTGCACCAGTGAGGACACGGTAGCACAGTGACGACAGAACCCACTTACTCAGGGTCACACAGTGGCTCGTGATGGGGGGAAGCAAGGGTCCTCAGTGTTCTGTCACCAGATGCTCTCTGTGTCTGTCCCTACCATACTGATCCGTGGAGTAGTCAACAGGGCCAGCAAAGAACTTACCAAAAAGTTCCTGCTTACCTTCCAACACAAGGAAAGAGACTCTGCCCATCCATTAGTGGATTTGGGGATGAGAATAGAGAGTGGCAGCCATTTGGGTTGCAAATAGTCAAAATAATTCCTCTTGTGTGGCTACATCTTGAGGGTTTTCTAAGTGCTGCCCCACCTCATATTTCACTGGGTCCGCAAACAATGTGTTCAGTAGGGAGAACGAGCCCTCCTTCTTTATAGGCTGAGATACTGGTGCTCAGAGGGTTAAGTCATTGATCCAGTATGCCTGGTATGGAGCCGCCATACAGGGAAGAGCCCTGAGAAAGGAGCAGATCCTTTAGAGGTGGACCTACAGACAAGTCTTAGGATCCAAGACAGAAGTGACAGACAGACCAAATGGCTTTTGAAAGATGCTATATTCTGGAAAGTGTGTGTTAGATCTTTAAAATCAAAATCTCATCCTCTTTTAGTCATGGTTTAATTTCAGTGTGACTCCGTCTTCATCTTTAATTGATCTTGGAAGTGTTGAGCTCTGCATTTCTTTTTCGTATTTTGTTCCTCTCTTCCTCACTTTTCCTCTCTTCAGGGGTAATACACTGTGAATATGAACTCTTAACAGCCACCCATACAAAGTCAACTACAAAAATCGAATCCTTTTTATAAATTGTGCAAAATGTTTTGTAAACTCTTCACCTGCTGGTTTGAGGTGTGCCCTCCTCTAAATCTGAAGCCACAGGGGCCTAGAGGGGGAGACGACTCACCAAAGAGCTCATGGGCATTGGCAAGACCAATAGGTATTCTATACATTTCTCCACAATGTCTCTTTTATGAATATGTGACACGGTGTTGGGTAGGTAGAATGCATTCACTTCATTGCCTAGTTAAATAATCAGAGCATAAATAAAATCAGCATTACTTTATTGGGTACTTGCCTTTCTTTTTCTCAGGGGGATACAGTAATCGAACACATCCCAAGATACTTCATGCAAGTTCAGCACCAATTCCCTTTCTCCTCCATCTAATCCTTGGATTTCCTGGACGTCACTGCATTGTTGATTCTTGGACCAGTGCAAATGTTGATGGGATGTGCCTCACTCTAAGGAAGGCCCATTTGAGGAAACAGATCAATAAGGCTCCTTACTCACGTTACAAAGGAGTCTGGGAAAGTACCTTGGAATAATTGGTTGTAGAGAATGAATGTCTCTGTAGGGGCAATGTGTCTTGATGGGGAAATTCCCAAGCTTTTGAGGGAAGGAAAGTCAATGAAAGGGCTTGAGCTAAAAATGTTCTAGCTTGGGGAAGTGGAAAATGGGCAAGAGTGAGATGCCAGTGTGGGCCCCTCAGGCTGCCTTCTGGGCAGGTGGGGATGGAGCTTCCTCCGTAAGTCCAAGGATGTGGGTGTATAGCCAAAATGAATGAGGCACAGGAGACCTCGTTGAGGTGTCTTCAGGGGCAACACAAGGCGGCAGCGCCAGAGTGGCCGTGAGTACATGGCGTGTCTGGCCAAGGCTGGTTTCCTGAATCTGTATGGCTCTGATGCAGCTTGAAAAGGTGAGAAGGTAACATCAGTAAGCCTTATATGGTAGTTGTCTGGGGCATCGCTTGAGAGCAGAACTCTCAGGAGATCCCAGGAGAAAGGCAAAGATAGGACTAGGTGGAAATCAGGTAGGATAAAGCTCATTTAGCACCATAGGAGGCCATAACAGGCCCGTATGGTCAAAAATGGAATTTAGACCTGACTGCTCCACCTTGCCCAGGTGGCACTGCATAAATCCACAGCTCTTAGCATCCACTCAAAGGAAAAGCAGGCTCAGAGGTAGTGATGTGCTGGTAAATCAGCTCTCCAAAAAGAAAAAAAAATTTTAGTGTCAGTGTCTGTCCCAGCTTGCAAAATTCCTGAGAATTTCGCAGTCAGCGTCCAGGAGTCCTACGAGCTGGCTCAAGCACATCTTGGAAAAGGAGGAAATTCCTGAATGTAACTGGTCTTTAGATCCAAAATTGCTACGAGATGCCAGAATTTATTGAACTTTGTGCATCAGATTGAGTGGGGGTTAGAAGTGAAAAGGAAAGTAATACAACAGTAAAGGAAAACCAGTAGAGAAAGTTATAATTTGTTACTGGAGAAACTGCCACGATAAGTAAGTCCAGAGGAGCTCCAAAAATTAGACCTCACTGGGCTAAATTCATTAAAGATGGTTGGAATCACTAGGGACTTAGAGCCGTGGGAACAGGAGATGGGTAGTGTAAGGAAACAACTGCTTTCAGGGGCACCTCTCTCTGGATCTTTGCATTTCTGCATGCCTCAAGCACAGACCCTGGCTGCCCTTTGCTCTGGACTATCTCCTGAAGACATCTGCATGGAA